CTAACTACTATATATACTTTACTTATATATACTCGTTACTTAGTAGTAAGTATATATTATTATATACTACTACTAATATATATAACTATACGTCGACACACACACACATATATATATATATATATATATTTAAATATTTCTACAGATCACTTTAAATTTAATTTTGTGTACCAAATTTACAGAGCGTTAATACGAATATTTAAAAAATCAACACTACTCCAAAGATGTTTCATATTAAGATATGATAATGTTGTTATATACTTGATATAGTCATTTTCTATATATGTATTAAGGTATCGTCACTTACCACACAGACTGACAACTGTCTGAAGATTTCATCCATGATTTTCAGAACAACATCAGTGTTTTTCTCTACTGGAAAATGTTTAAAATCACGGGCACTGTGAGAAGAATTTCTGCTATCCGAGCAAAACCAGCTCAAATACTAATTGGAGGAAGTCGTGAAGAGTAGAGCAACAAAACCAATGTCATGGCCCCCTTGTCTGACATACGGAACAAATTGAAACTCTGATACAGCTCAGTACAAGTTCTAACGCCCACTATAAAAACCTAAGCTAGCTCTGTTAAGCCATCAACAAGTCGGGCAACGATATTGAGCAATCAATTATTCGAGCCATATCTTACAAAAGGGGTGGTTTACTGACCCATTTCAGAAGTTTATCATCCTGTTATACTACTGAGCAGGAAGTGGGACTAATTACATAAAATGATAATTTACGCTATAATAATTGTATCACGATCCTTTGACATATCCCACAACGCTTTATAATTCGTTTCACAGAACATATTATTGTATTAAACAATTAGTCGTAAGCCTTTGTGAACGTATAGGGCATATAATTTATTCTATGAAAATTTTAAAAGATCAACGTGGCTTGAACAATAGTCGTAAAGTACACTATTATATTTATACATCCGTTTGGTTGTACGTCTAAAATTGATCTCTTGTAATGTTGAAAATCTAGAATAAATTTAAACACAAGGTGCTTATGAAAAAACAACAAAAAACACATACTTAAAATGGTTGCAAATCAACACCTACTTGTCTTGGGGAACTAAATTTTACCACTGCCACAGTGAGAATGGTTAGTATATTAAGGGAAATTTGGACGTGTTACACGGTTTTTCAAAACCATATTATCACTACGTACATAAGTTGCTTTTACTTCTTTCAACAAATCGACATGTGGATTCGAATAACATGCGTGTCAATGTGCAAGATTCTGTGAAGATCAGTGAATAACGCACAGAAGAGGTAATGCTTGCAGTAGCTACATTTAGGGAGAGGCTTGATAAGCTGACTGAAAAAGACGGAAAGCATACCAAAGAATTCTTATGATTGTTTTTGAAACACTTTGTAACATTTCTTAAAACTTTCTTCCATATATGTAGTCCTTCTCAATGTACCTCTGGTGAAATTTACATATCGTAGGACGAGTAATTTTTTCAATATATAATCAATTAATCAGTATAAATGGATTTTACTTTATAATCGTTCTGTAGAGTTACCGTTGGTTCATACAACTTGCATTGCACTAGACTAGAGGAAAACTTGTTTGTTTTGAATTTCGCGCAAAGCTACACGAGGGCTATCTGCGCTAGCCGTCCCTAATTCAGCAGTGTAAGACTAGAGGGAAGGCAGCTAGTCATCACCACCCACCGCCAACTCTTGGGCTACTCTTTTACCAACGAGTAGTGGGATTGACCGTCACATTATAACGCCCCCACGGCTGAAAGGGCGATCATGTTTGGTGTGATGGGGATTCGAACCCGCGACCCTCAGATTACGAGTCGAGCGCCCTAACCACCTGGCCATACCGGGCCTTGAAGAGGAAAACTGACTATCATAAGTATGTGATTACCAGTTGGCTTTTATTTACTTATTTAACAATATACGCTACAACGCCCTATACATATGCACTACAACAACAGCCTATACGTTATTCTATGATCACAATGCAATCAAATGCGTGTTGAAATTTCGTGGTCGCCACCTTAATTTTTCATTATAACATTTTAAATTTCTAATGGTTATTTAGTGATTATAGTCGTTTAAAAACATTTCTTATTATTTGTTAAAATTATAATTTTCATATTAAATTGTAATTCAATAAAAATAAAGTTTATGGCTCGACGTGTTTTAAACGGATGTCATATTTAATTCAAAACAATGACTGGGAGGTGGCCTATTTTCTTTCGCAGTATCTTTTATCCTCCAGTTTTTATTACTTAGAAATCTCAAATATACAATTTTGTTGTAGTTGTTTCCTTTATGGAAGAAACATAATTTTTACCAGTTGTTTAATCACATAAAATTATTTTATATAATAATTTATCAGATACACCATTTTTATATTAAACATGCAGGCATATAAGTCACTTTTATATGTATATATGTTTACAAAAAAAAAAAAAGGCAGTACTTAAACTAATCACACGTGTCACACTTTATGTATACCAAATTAAACTCGTGCAATTGACATCATATACTCCAATCCCTTGCAATTCCTGCAAAACAAGAATGGCAGGGCACTCGATTCATAATACGCGAATCATGGGATCGAAACCTGCCACCGAATATGCTCGCCCTTTCAGCCGTGAAGGCGTTACAATATGATGATCCGTCTATTTGTTGGTGAAAAGTAGCTCAAGAGTTGGCGGTGAGTGATGTTGACTAGCTCCTTCACTCCTGTATATCACTTCTTGATTAGGGACGGCTAGCGTGAATTGCCCGCGAGTATCTTTGCGTGAAGATCAAGAAAATAAACAAACAATCCTTCATAACGAACGCAACCACATGTAACTTCACTTTACTTATTCTTTAAATAACCAAACAAATATGTCTGGATTACTTATTTTAATGTTTACAAGAAATACACTATTTACGACTGTATCCAATGTCGCTGAAGTTTAAGGGGAGTTAGTGTCAGTGTTTGAATTACATATACTGGACATATGTGGATAATATTGTATTTTGCATAACATAACAACTTCATGATGTTTCTTAAATATTTTACTAGCGAAATAAATGATAAAAGATTTTACGTT